TGGGCAAATGTACCTCAACAAGACATTGACAATCTCATTTTGTCGATGCACGATAGATGTAGGGCCGTAATAAACCAGCGTGGAGGCCATACTTTGTACTGATTCCAATTTTTTTTGTATTATGATTTTTTTTCGGGGTGCCAAAGAAGAGCCATATTTTTTTTTAGTTTTGCTTATATGCGCACTCAGTATTTTTGACCATTTAATAAATTTTGTTGTAAGTTACATTCGTTTAATAATCACCCGTCAACTTTTTTTTCCCTAAAGCGATCTAAAAAAAAAATATTGCCATTTTTAAAAATATCCCTAGACTTTTCCAATGTGTGTACATACCTATAGGACGAATTGTGATAAATTGAAAAACCATGTTTGTTGTTCACTCTACTAATTGTTAAGTCCAAGAAATGAATTGAGTTGTCTGCTTCTATTTCAATAGTGAATTTAATGTATTCATGAATTTTGTTAATATCCCTATGCTATACCTTCTTGGATATTTCTCAACTTGACTCCTTGTGCAACAAATCCTCAAATAATAGTGATTTTTTAAAATTTCGTTGTAATGCTTTCCAATCTAATACAAACCCTCAATAAAAATGAATATACAACGAGTACACAAATTTATTATATAAAAATTATGTCATATATTCGTTAACTCAACAAAAACAAAACATAAAAACAATTTATATCAGAGATGCCTGCGTCTTGATTCCCTCATCATCATTCTTCGCCTTCTTGCTGGCTTCTTCAACCTCAGTCTCTGCATTAGGCCGCTTCAGCGACGGAGTTATGCTGTTGAAAATACTGTTTTTGAATTCCTCGTACTTCTTGGGATTCGCCAAAAGACTATTCGAAGGAGCAATTTCGCACTCTACGTCTCCTTCGTTACGTTCCCCTTCATTAGTGTCAACACTATCTGCAACGACTTTACTATGCTTCTTTTCTTCATGGTAGTCGTTCATCTGAGAGTGTGCGAAGCTCGAAGTTTCGCATTTCAAGAATTCCCGTAGCACCATCGTTGCATATGAAGAGGAATTTAAACTGAACTCCAACACCAACGCCTTGTACTTCCCACCTTGAAAACGAATAAATATGTAGTTATTGGGAAGATATTATAATGTTATCCAGTTGGAAACCTGAATATTTTAAATTTCAGTGTTTACAGTTGAATCAATTCATCGCTGGACCTGACTGTCTTAAAGAATAGCCTGAGTAAACAAGGGCAAAGACATCTCCTCTTACAATTCCATCTATGGGATTGACAGAGAACTCAATACTCGAATATCAAAGATAAACGAGACTCTCACCCGCTAAAGATATCATCACCATCAGCGTTGCTAGGCTGAACCACAAAGGAATTGTCCTCAAAGAACAAGTCTGAGTAAACAAAGTCGATGACGTCTCCTCTCACGAAGACGCCATCTATGGGATTGACAGAGAACTCAACCCTCGAATATCAAAGATAAACGAGACTCTCACCCGCTAAAGATATCATCAGCTTTGCTAGGCTGAACCACAAATGCATTGTCCTCAAAGAACAAGTCTGAGTAAACAAGATCGATGACGTCTCCTCTTACGAAGACGCCATCTATGAGATTGACACTGAACCCAATCCTTGAATATCAAAGATAAACAGCAGTTGCAAAGCTTCAACATGTACATCCGATGAGATTCGTCCTGTGTCTTTCATCGCAGCTTTGCTTTGCAACTGACCGCTTTGGGAAGCCTCGTATATCTTTGATAGTCGAGGAGTGGGTTCTCTGTTGATTACATAGATGGCGTTACCGTAAGGTAAGGTTCTACAATTTTTCTTCATGATGATAGCTTGTAAGTATTCACTCATGAATTTCAGAGAATCATTATACCATTTAATTCTGAACCAATTTTTGTTGGCAACTTTTTTTTCAAGTGGGAACGAATCTTTGATCAAATTTTGAAGAGTAATGATAAAAAATTGCAATAGTGTCAGTCCAGAGACTCGATAAGAACCATTTTATTTATGAGCATTTTTCTTTGAAACTGTCAATACCAGTTGAGGTGGACAAAGAACCATAAGATTCAGAGACACTGTACAGATGGAAAATTTTTTTGCAGCACATTTTTATTATTTGCTGATGACCTGAAGTTGATTTGATTTCGATATTTCGATTTTCAAAGTGCATTTTCCTCATCAAACAAATCAACTGTGATTGATTCCTAAAATTTGCAGATTGTACTCACCCTCAATGCTGACAGGTTCTGGTTTTCCTTGAAGTTCTTGGAAATCTGACCTGATCAAGTCTTCAGTAGGGTCATCGTATTTCATTATTTTCCATGATAAGTCTTTCGCTCTTCCCAAGATTTTCCTGTAGTCGCCTGACAGGTTGTACGATCTGTAACCACAGAAGTTAGTGATACCACTATATCCTGTTCAAGAGATTTTTGAACCGAGAAGAAAAACGTTCGTTTCAAATATCATCATCAGTTTTTCATCAACTCCTTCATAGAAAAGGCAACGAATCAGTATAATCAACACAAATACTATAAATGGGTGTGAAAAAAGAGTATTACAAGTTAAATATAGAGTTAAAACAGGTCTAGGATTTTCTTATTCATGGGGACGTTCCTGATTATATTTAACTAGAAGCTTTATACAGTCCAGACATAAATTACCCCCTCCCCCGGGCAGTTGTTGGACAAAATTCATATAAAGTCAACAAACTAACAAAAGTATTCAAAACTAACTCTAGTTTATCCCAATAAATCCTCAAAATGTTTACCATTCACTCCCTTACAATAATGAAGTTTGTTAACAAATGTCTTTCTTACATTATGAAATGTCCCTAGTAAATTGTAATGCAAGCACTTTTTTTTCGATATTCGAGTTCTGAACTACAGATGTCACGTTCCTCCTCAAAAACATCTAGAGGTGTCACGTCAGGTGATCTAGTGGGCTCTTCTAAGGGACCACTTTTGCTTGTAAAACGGTTTCGATAATTGATAAACCCAAATTAGTTCTCAACTGATGTTAAGTTTCAGCAAGATGAAGCACCTCTTTATTACGATAGGCTGGTTTGAAAGTGGTTAGATCACCATTATCCAAACCAGTGGAAAGGCAAATGTCTCATAAAATTATCCGATAGATCCCCTTATATGAAGCCCTCATATTTGTTTGTTGGGATTCGTGATATCTGAAGTATGAGTTACACAACCACAGTTCTATCCAGAGCCATGTTTAGAATATGAGGTGTTCCTAATGAATTTCCTTCGAAACATTCCATAATGTCTAAAATGTAAACAAACTTCATTATTGTCTGGCAGTGAATGGTGAACATTTCAAACATTTATTGAAATGAATTGGGGTTAGTTTTGAATACATTTTTTAAATCATGATACCTTGAAACAAATAGAAAACTGCTACTTACTCAGGAAAGGCTGATCCAATTTCCAAAAATAGAAAACGGTTAGATGAAGAATTGAAATATCTATCAAACGAATTATTTATTTATTCAACGGGTAACCCCCAATTTTTGTACAATATATTAACCTTAGAAAGTTAACTATTCTAGTATCTATATATCTAATTGCTTACCGAAAACTACTGAAAATTATAGCTTTTTACGTCAATTGATATCATGTCCCATTCAAATGTTAAATCACAGTACGTCCATACTGTGATTTTATTGACTTTTCTTAAAAATTCTCCAAAGACTCAATGAAAGTTCAAAACTGATTTAAAATTATATAATATGTGTACAAAAAGTATGGAAAGCACAGAACCGTTATTGATTCTGTACCAAAAAGTTTTTTTCAGCTTTTTTATCACACAGTTAAATTTTGTAGGTTAAGCCATTTACAAAACTTATACCCACTAATGGTGCCAAACTTAAATAAATACCTTACCTGACTTTTTGTTTTGTCATCTCCAAAGTCAGTTCATGTTCCTCCAAGGCTTCTTTATAATACTGCTTCAAGTTCTCAGGGTACACTACATCATAGCCGGGCAAGGGTAGAACCACGTCATAAACTGTGTAATTTGAAATGTCGGTTGCCGTTAAAACTTTAACCTCCGTTTTACACTTGACGCCTTCATTAGCTACAAAATATATTTAGTTAAGTCAAAAAAATTTGACGCAAAAAAAATCATTATATTTTTGTAGAGTAGAGATAGAATTACCGTCTAGTAATGATATCAAAGTAGCACAGTAATCAAAGTGTGGTAGGATTATTGTTTTATAAACAGTCAAATTAGATTGGAATGTTTATTGTCCTTTGGTATGTTCAAAAAATAAGGTGAATTTTAATTTTTCTCAAAAAATATTTATTTATTCATCAATTTCAATAAACTTGCACATCTAAAGAAATTAACTTTAAATGTTCAAGCCCGTCTCGGATATATCTACACAGTAGGTTGAATGAACAGACACCTATCAGAAAACAACTACTCCACTGGCTAATACCACGAACGGCGTTGGATTATATCCGACAGGCGTCAGTGCAGGAATGTTCACAAAAAATTTCCTGCATGTGCAATTGGCAATACAACTGAAAGAGTCGACCCCCAATTTTGGAACCGGCACACTTGCAGACCGGTTTCGGGCTCCTTAGCCACTCGTCAGTGCAAGATGGTGACCATCATCGACCTAAAGTTAATGATATTCCATAATTGAAAATCGAACTTCTTTCAGAGTATTTCATTCCTCGTCTTAAGTTGGGGTGAACATCAAAAATGTCACTCCATCTAGTGGACGAGGTACTCACCAACTGCATATCCGAAATTTGCCCTATTCCTCTGAATAGGAAAGAAAAAATTTCTTATAAGTCAATGGGCTATGCTTGAAGACAGGCAGTAAACAAATCTAAAGAAATGAACTGTAAATGTTCAAGCCCGTTTCGGAGACACCTACACAGTAGGTTGAATGGACTGACGCCTATAAGAAAACAACTACTCCACTGGCTAATACCACGAACGACGTTGGATTATATCCGGATATATCAGCAGAAAATTGACTTTCATGCAAAACACTTCTAACTTTCTTGTCTCTCACCAACAAACTAAACGTGCCAAATAGCTGAAACTGTAAACATATATTCGAGAAGGGTGTATCAACATAAAAAAAATCCCTAATCAAATGTATGTAGCACGCGAAATTTTAAAATTCACCTTTTTTTAAACATCCGACGTATTTCATATGACATTAAACGTAGCTATCTCTCTCACCTTCAACTTCTGAGTCCTCATCTTTAGCAGCTGCCAACACAGATTCTCCTGAACTTTCTTCTTGCAGGTCCGTCACAAACACCAAATCTCCTTCTACAGGTTTCATCCCGTACAACTTCAGTCTCATAGACACCATCTTGTTCCAAATGAAACTTTGGAATGAGTGAAGATAAAGAAGTCTCATCGATCTGGGTATCTGGAAAGAAGAGATTTGAAAAGAGAAAATTTGGAGATGGGATGTTGATGTAAACATTAAAAAAAGCATTCATCGGGGTCAAAAACAAGTTGTAGTACCAAGCTTTTCGTCTGCTACTACGGCAGATGATTCATTCAGTCATTGCTGAGACTTTAAAGTAGCAGACAGAACGTTTGATACTAAAATTCCTTTCAACAACAGTTTAACAGTCCAGATTCTGTTCTTTCTGCACATAATTCTTGCTAGATCTAAGATTTTGAGGAGGAAAAACATACAGCGGCTGCTGTATGGTTTTGAGGAAGAAAAACATGCAGCAGCTGCTATGGGCGACTAGAATAATGTTTATTTGTATAAGTCAATAAATATTACAAACAAAATAACACATAGAAGAGAACAAATGAACAGAAATATCAAAGAGGCAGTTCAGACTGCTTGTACGTGATATCATCTAGTAACATATCCGAGTAAGCATATTGAATGAAGCATTTGCCTGTGTAACAATTTATCAGAATGAAAAATAATCGAGTGTGGGGTACTTCAAGACTCAGTAATGGGCCCTCTCTTATTTACAACATATCTAAATAACCTCTTTACATAAATATATGAATCTGTATGGTTGCATTGCTTTTGCAGATGGCACAACCATTATAAATTCTCGCAACTTTGCCACAAAGCGAAAAATAGATATAAAAAAGTCCAAGAGAGAGCAGATAACTTTCTTTCCCAAAAATTAATCACTCCTAAAAATATAACCCCTTCAATTCAAATAATTTGGTGTTGAACTAAGAAAGAAATACAAACAACTGCATTTTCCTAAAGCGCTAATGTATCTGCGACGGAATGTGCCAAGTTGTTTGGTGTTTATCTATATGGAAAATAGACCAGTGTGAAGTTTTTGTAGGCACTTCACCAATAGCAATGAAACAGTAACCAAGTGATTCAAAACACTTCTGGTCATATACGAAAAGCAACAAAAAAACAAATAATTCTTTCCCCTCATGCTACAGGGCTCCCAAGTGAAAGAAAGTGAGTCTGCAGATTCTTTTGGCAAATATTTTCAATCAGTCTACAGTAATGACCAGGCGATGGTGATGTTGAAAGTCGTCTCACAATCAATGAAGTAACCGACAGCAATTACTTTGAAGCTTTAAAGGAACTTGAACCAAAAAAAATTTGCAGGAAGTGATAAAATACCACCATATATTGTTAAAAGATGTAGAACGTGGCTAAAGCAACCTATTCTTTTATATCTATAATCTATCAATAGAATCGAATACGTCTCCAGACTTATGGAAGGAAGCATAATGATTGATTGTTTCGAATTCATTTGTATTCATTGTTCAATTTAAATTCGTGACAGTGCAAGTTATTTTTGCAGAACATTTTATAAATCATATTAACTTACTTTCTCCAAAGCATTTACATAATCATTTTCATTATTTTTCGATAACCCTTCCAGGAGTTTAAACTCTACAGCGGAGGCTTTATTCCTTTCAGCAACCTCATATGCTTTTTTCGCATCTCCAGTTTCGGTATAGATCTTTTTTGCCATGACTATGTCTGCCTGAGGTGATCCAGGGTCATCCGAGGCTTTTGGTTTTAATATCAGTTGGACAGCCTAGAGAAGTAAACAAAGATTATTAAAAACAGATCAAATGCCTACAGAGCTTGACTTACTTCCTTCCATTTTCCCTGCAAAAGTTTTATCCCAACTTGGAAGGTAGGCACCTCTTTATCATTTCCGAATCTCTGAAGACCGAAGTAATTTATAAAACCATTTTCCTTCAATGCGTTCAAAGAATGAGCGATATTTTCATCTGTGGCAGTAACATTCCTCAAAGCAATGTCAAAGACATTTCCTTTCAACTGACCCAGCCGCAGAGGTTCTTTTTTGAACGTGAAATTTCCAAATTTCATTTGTGGATACTTTCTTGTTTTCGCCAGTAACCTCCACGGTTCTACTTTATGGATACTGAACCATTGAGTTGTGATGGCTCTTCGGTCTTTGGTTCCTGCATGATCAATTTTAGAGGGGGGCATTTTCATGGCACTGCCGATCTTCATACAAGCCTCCATGGTGTCAAGTTTTTCTTTGTAAACAATGAAATGAACATACTCGTCTACCCCTAGAGGCCACTGCCGCTGTGTATCATGTGGATCTGAAATATATTAGGATACTTGAAGATTCATATCAACTAACCACAAAAACCACATAGTGTGTGGTTAGGGATCACATGTTAAAAGGTAAGAACTCGTTAGTCCTTAGCTCGCACAAGTTTCTCAACTTCTGAGAGTTGTTGTTGGTACGGGGGTGACAGCTCATTAACGGAAAACAGATTTCAAACTGATTAGTTGGAATTGATTGGGAAATTTTCTCTCTCCCGAAATAAAAGGCATTTCCTCCTCCTTCCAATTCACCTTTTTTGCATGATGACGTTTGGGTTGCAGCCCAAGAAAGAAAACAACAGCATTTGGAGTAAGTTCCGAATTTTAAACCTTTTATGGTCACACTAGTTGTTGCCCGCATAGAATTTGGTTTGCCACATTAAGTTTCGTGACAGACCATTTCAAACAATTAGTTACAATATTTTTTTATCAACCCAAAAGTTCAGGTTTCCAACTTCAAAACTGACGAAATTCAATGCAACCTTCAAACCTTTACTTTTCCCACTTGGGGAGTGGAAATTCCTGATTCCCTTTCTTGATGCTTATTTACGCTATACAAAGAACGTACCTGCATATTTCAAGATATTAAGTTCATTAGTTTTGGCTGTACGTTAATATAAGTGTCAGTCAATCAACAGCTAGTATTGTATAAGTGGGTACCTATATATAACATAAATGTAAATTACAATTTAAATTACCAAACAGCAGTAGGTAGTTCAGATGAATCATAGTAAGTATTTTCCAAGAGATGTTTTTTCAGTTTCCTTTTGAAATTAGCGAGGGTTGCATTTTACATTGATTGGGACAGTGAGATGTACAATGATATGTATCAATCAATAAAAGAGTAAGGTGACTCTCCGATACTAAGCGCACTCGATCAAGCCATAATACTCACCAAATAACGAGAAACTAACGAAAACTTACCTCTCCCCATCCCCTAATGAACACAAGAGATTCCTGCACAGAAACCTTCGAGATAAACAAACTACTTACTGTGTTAGCAATCTATGTCTATGAATCAATATAATTCATTATCAATCACTCAGGCAATTTTGACATACATTGCAAAACCCATAATTACGAGACATGACGAAAAAAATACTTCTCAAATCATGTTTTTGGAGGATTATTAAAAAAGGATAATTGATTAGGTACTATTACTTACTGTCTTTATTATATTTCCTGACCTCGACAAAAGGTTTTCCATCTTTTTGCACAGTGGAAGAGACGACTTTTCTACCGAAATGATTCTTAATGCAACAATGGAGTTCTTTCCTGGTTTCTTTGCTCAAGGCTTCAACATCTAAAAGTACCGGTTCACTATCCGGCGTTTGTGCTACATTTTTAATAGCTTCCCATTTCTCTTGGGGGATGTATTCGTTAGGACTCTGCTGCACCTCTCTGAAGTCAGTCTTCATTATTTTCTGTGAAAACTCTTTTGGGATCGAGATGTCAGTTAGTTTTGCAACTTCGCCTTGTAAGTTGATCTCGTGCACTTGGAAATCTGAAAATCTCGCTTTGATAACACCACTGAAGCCCTCAAGTTGGTTGATGAATTCGGTTATACCCACTTCTGCTTCTAGTAATTGCTCGCAATGTCGGTATATTCTTTTCTGATAACTGGGTCTCTGATAGTTTGTACCTCGTTTGTTTCTGAATTTTCCTCTTTTCGAAAACATTTTGTTAAGAAAATAATAACTATAATAAATAATAAACTCCTCTAACCTCACTCACACTCTCTCTCTCTTTTTCTCTCTAGTCTCTATGGCTCCTTCTGTCCATAGTGAACTGAAGCTTCGTCAGTACGGAGGCGGAGCTGTCTTGCTCGAAACAATGCTGCCACCCTTAGTTTTTTCATTCTCTTCTTTTTTTAACTTTATTTTTACTGCGCTTCCTTCTCTTCCTTCCATTCACAGAGGTGCCAATTACACCTCAAAATACACTTCTAGACAATGTCAAGTTGGCACTTTAATTTTCAATGTTGTTTACATTCGGGAGTAGAGTGATTTTATGTGAAAGTTTTTTTTTAATTCGGTCCATAAATTGAAGATCCGAACAAAATACGCGTGACAGATTTCAATTTTAGCACCATCTATTTACATGTTGGGTCAATCTCATTTCTGACGTCAACAGTTTTCAACAAAACAAAAGCGAATCGGTAAAAACAGCAGTGTTTCTTTGCCTCTTTATCAAAACGTTTTCACACAAAATTAAAACTGGAATTCCTACTAGAGAAAATAATTCTTTTTTCCTGTCATCCACATTTTGAGAAGACTTAAGACAACGGTCGTGGCGTGGCGTTTACATTCAGTGTTACCACCTTTTCAATGGCCAATAGTTCAAATTGGTACTGGTTGGAGGAATTTCGAATTGGGTTGGAGAATTTTAGATAATTTGAATTTGATATCGAATAATTTGATAGTTTTTGATCGTCAACAGTGCGTAGGCGAAAAGACAAAAAATACAAGGTACAAGGTCATCTAGCATACTAAAATAATGTGAGCAAATACTATTACTCTGTTTTCTACTTTCTCTTTCAACCGTACGAAATGCAGGTAATGAAATATTTCATTAAAAATAGTGCAACACACCATAGATGACAAATATATTTTATTGGAAATGTTTTTATTATACTTATATGTATTATATAAATATAATACTTATATATACACTTATAAACAATACCAACATTGATGTTAATATATACATTAGCGCATAATAGCATTGACATTTCCTTAGAATTTCATGCACAGAAAGAAACTCATTCATGTCTCAAGAATAACCTATATACCTATTCAACAGGTCCTCGCTTTTGTCAAATTCCATTATTTTCATTCAATTGTGATCCATAAGATAATCTTTTTTCGAGTCAATTCTATTCAAATTTCTGTCTGGAAGGCAAGTTTGTGAAAATATTTACGAAAAATAATGAGAAGTATGCTGGCTTGAGTACTATGTAAAGGAGATGAAATTGTTTTAAATTGATGGATTTAGCCGTTACTACGTGCGGTTCAAGATCACCACGAAAAATGATATATGTGTAATTAAAACATAGCAAGTTTCAATTCTCATTTTTCAAGATGAAATTATATTTTCGGAAACACTTTCTATCACATTTTTCAAAGGATATGCTGAAGATCGGTAATTCGAGTGAATTTTGAAATGCCATGATTGGAAATTTTGGTCAAATCCATACACATTATGAAAGAGGAGTACTTATAATAAACAGTAGGTATACATCAAGCATGAGTGTGATTTAACCCAGATGTCCTACATCCAATATTGATTTCCTTCCGTTAGTTTACGTTTGTCTTACGTGCTTGACGTTATCAGTAAGGAATAATTTGAGGTTTCCAAAAATAAACATTTGTGGAACTCTTGTAATTACTGATTACGGTAATACTTTCACAAGGTGAGTAATCAATTTTAGATTTCATTCACATTTTTTTAAGGAAGTATATAATATTTACCATACATTTGAACATTCATTTTATGTTGGTAGTTTTGTTCTACGCATGTGCATATATGCAGGACAATGAACACATTTTATACTATAATTTGTTTTAGGGGATTTTCTCTGCATGCAGCTTTGGTAATTATAGAAGACGATGATTTGCAAGCAGATACAATAACCTTGTTTTCGCCCAGTAATCCTTGTTATTATCATCAATGAGGATTCTGGACAGGAAAATAACATCTATGGGAGATGTCACCTGCACATCACAATGAAATACCATTGTCGAAAATGAAAGGAATCAGGGAAAACAAACATCAAAGGATAGAAAAAAAATGAAAAAGTTTATGAATAGATATGTGAGGAACATTCAGAGTAATAAAGATATTTTGAAAAGCCCGAAAGGGATAAAGTGACCGTATATACCCCTTCACAATTGTTACCACTTTTCTTCAATGAAACAATTCTTAAACTCACCGAAGAAACAAGTCGATGTGGATCTCAGACAAATAGATCCATCCGAGCGGAAATTAGCGAAGTGAAATGTTTCATTGGAGTCCTTCTTTTGAGTGGCTAAGTTTCACTTCCCAGAAGGAGAATGTATTTGGAACAGACAAGTTTGCCAAAGTCGGGCCTCTATTCACATATCTAAAGGAGAATTTTCTTGAGCATGCTTTCATCGAAGAGGACTTCGGCACTGATGAAGCCATGGTTTCCTCAAAGGGAAGACATGCCTATCAGATGTGGTGTCAAGTTATTATAGGACGGAACCATTCGTCATGGATAGCTTGAGCCCTATCAAGGTGCTGCAAGAAATATCAGCAGAATATATAACGAAGTTGGGTGTTGGAACTTCGGTGGTACTTGAATATGCTTATTATACTATTCAGTCAAAATAGAAAAATTTGAAATTTCATCTGTATTTCGATAATTTCTTCTTACTAGAACATCTTACCCAGAAGAAGCAATATGGTAAGGGAACAATGCGTGAAAACCGTATTTCAAACAGTATTTTTCGTAACCCAAAAGTTCTAAAAAAAAATTCACGTGGAACCTATGACATTCTTTGAGTGGAACAATGAAAATACTACAATGCACTCGTTGTAGTTAATCCATTACATATTGTTTGAAGATACTACAAAAAGGTTCATTCAAGTCGATCAACCTCATGTCGTAAAAATGTATAATGGAAGTATGGACAGAGTTTATCGTTCAGATCAAAACATGAATTTATATCGCACATTTGTACGGTGTAAAAAGTGGTACTTCCCTTCAGTTACCCAAGGCGTAGACAGGGCAATTGGCTGAACTTCAGAGGAAGTGTATAGTCACCCAAAATAAAAATGAATTTATTCACCAGAGAGGACATTGTTCCAAAAATATAGGCTTAGAGTTGCGATTTGATCGAATGGACTATTTAGTCATGCCCCAAGAAAAGCAAACTAGATGTGGTTCTTGCCACAAAAAAAAATTACACTAGGTGTCAAAAGTGTGACATTGGTTTGCACGTTAGATGTTTCATAACATACCATTCTGAATAAATAGTTACTAACAAATTGTTTGATGTTTCCGGATTTATTATCCGTGATCTGCAGGTTTTTACAACTGTCGTTTCGTCTGCTACTGCAGCATACATTATCAAAGACGATACGGCAATGGTCGAAGTGATCTATTTTGCTGCGATGCGCAAATTAAAAATGGTGCGTTTATACTAGGTATAGGACGACTGATTGCTCTTATACTTGATTTGTCCAACCCTTCTTCAATTAGTGGGAGAATCTTTGTGTTATAAAGTGCCGGTATCCATGTCTTGTTGATGTCTTACCTCTCTTCCTTACGGTTGAAATTGCTTTCATTAAGAACTTGCGTGTTTTCGAAGGCAGTGTCTCTGAGAGAGTGTGTTCTGCAACTGCCAGTTTTTCTATTTGGCCATTTTTAGCGAAAAAGGAAGAGAATGTAGGAAATTTTCTGCAGTAGTAAGCATTTTTTATAATTTATAGCTTGTTTCATTCAAAAACCAGAACGGATATATTTTATTTCGTATTCTTTTCTAATGATCATAAATACTTTCTATTGTAAAAAAAAACCTCAACTATACTTTCTTATATCTATCTTTCAAAATGTTTTCCCCGATGTTAATAGATAACATATTAAGCAATAAATAGTTCAGAAGAAAACATTTTGACTAATAGTTATTTATACTGGATGATAAATGAAATATATTCTCGATGCATACGTTAACATCAGTCATTCATATGTATATTTATATATATTTTGATAAACATTGTATAGCACTTTTTGTGGTCGAAGGGTAGAAAATTTATATTATCTTATTAACGGTTTGACAATTGCGAATATGTACAAAGTGTCAAAAAACAGACAAGTTGATAATAAACGTATTTCCAATATTTTTGCTCTGCAAGTTGACATATATCTGAAATGATCATCATATGGCAAAATGTTATCCAGTTGGAAACCTGAATATTTTAAATTTCAGTGTTTACAGTTGAATCAATTCATCGCTGTACCTAACTGTCTTTAAGGATAGCCTGAGTAAACAAGGGCGAAGGCATCTACTCTTACGAAGACGCCATCTATGGGATTGACAGGGAACTCAACCCTCGAATATCAAAGATAAACGAGACTCTCACCCGCTAAAGAGATCATTACCATCAGCGTTGCTAGGCTGAACCACAAATGCATTGTCCTCAAAGAACAAGTCTGAGTAAACAAGGTCGATGACGTCTCCTCTTACGAAGACGCCATCTATGGGATTGACAGAGAACTCAACCCTCGAATATCAAAGATAAACGAGACTCTCACCCGCTAAAGATATCATCAGCGTTGCTAGGCTGAACCACAAATGCATTGTCCTCAAAGAACAAGTCTGAGTAAACAAAGTCAATGACGTCTCCTCTTACGAAGACACCATCTATGGGATTGACACTGAACGCAATTCTCAGATATCAAAGATAAATAGCAGTTGTAAAGCTTCAACATCTAACTCCGATGAGATTCATTTTGTGTCTTTCACGGCAGCTTTGCTTTGCAACTGACCGCTTTGGAAAGCCTCGTATATCTTTGATAGTCGAGGAGTGGGTTCTCTGTTATCACATAGATGGCGTTACCGTAAGGTAAGGTTCTACATTTTTCCTTCATGTTTGTATGAGCACGGGTATCACCCTTGACTTCTTGATACTTCATATATTATTTTGATAGTTTGTAACTGTTCACTGATGAATTCCAAAGAATCATTATACCATTTAATTCTGAACCAATTTTTTTTGGCAACTTTTTTTTCAAGTGGGAACGAATCTTTGATCAAATTTTGAAGAGTAATGATAAAAAATTGCAATAGTGTCAGTCCAGAGACTCGATAAGAACCATTTTATTTACGAGCATTTTTCTTTGAAACTTTCAACACCAGTTGAGGTAGACAAAGAACCATAAGATTCAGAAACACTGTACAGATAGAAAATTTTTTGCAGCACATTTTTATTATTTGCTGATGACCTGAAGTTGGTTTGATTTCAATATTTCGACTTTCAAAGTGCATTTTCCTTATCAAACAAATCAACTGTGATTGATTCCTAAAATTTGCAGATTGTACTCACCCTCAATGCTGACAGGTTCTGGTTTTCCTTGCAGTTCTTGGAAATCCAGAAGGAGAATGTATTTGGAACAGACAAGTTTGCCAAAGTCGGGCGTCTTTTCACATATTTGAAGGAGAATTTTCTTGCTTACATCGAAGAGGACCATAGCACTGATGAATCCATTGTTACCTCAACGGGAAGAGACATGCCTATCTGATGTGGTTTCAAGTTATAGGACGGAACCACTCGTCAGCGATAAATCAAGTAGCGTGAGCCCTATCAAGGTGCTGCAACAAATATCAGCAGAATATATAACGAGTTGGGTGTTGGAACTTCGGTGGTACTTGAATATGCTGATACTATTCAGCCAAAATTGGAATATTTGAAATTTTATCTGTATTTCGATAATTCCTTCTCACTAGAACATCTTACCCAGAAGAAGCAATATGGTGATGGAACAATGCGTGAAAACCATATTCCAGACAGTATTTTTTGTATCCCAAAAGTGCTAAAAAACTTACGTGGAACCTATGACTACAATAAAATTAGTAACCAGAGCATAATATTCGTCAACTGGAACAAAGATAATACTGTGACATTCACTTCCAATGCAGTTGTAGTAAACCCGTTACATACCGTTCGACGGTATGTTAACGGGTTTACCAAAAACAAGAAAATGGTAAGTTGATCAACCTAATGTCGTCAAAATGAGTTGATGGTTTATATCATAACATACGTTTATATGGCACATCTGTAAGATGTGCTACTTCCCTTCAGTTACCGATTGCGCAGACAGGGCAATTGGCATAAAAACTCTGGAGGAGTAGCAAATCAGCTGTTCTTCAGAAGAAGTATAGCCAATACCCAACTATATCCCAAAATAAATAAGAATGTATTTACCAGAGAGGATATTGTTCTAAAGATATGGGCTTAGATTTGATCGAATGGACCGTTTAGTCATGCCCCAAGAAAAATAAACTAGACTACTAGACTAGTTGTCAAAAGTGTGACATTGGTTTGCATGTTAGATGTTTCACAACATACCATTCTGAATAAATAGTTACTAACAAATTGTTTGATGTTTCCGGATTTATTATCCGTGATCTGCAGGTTTTTACACCTGTTGTTTCGTCTGCTACTGCGGCAGACATCATTAAAGACGGTCGAAGTGATATATTTTGCTGCGATGCGCAAATTGAAAATGGTGCGTTTATACTAGATGCGTTTATACTAGGTATCGGACGTCTGACTGCTCTTATACTTGATTGGTCCAACTCTTCTTCAATTAGTAGGATAATCTTTGTGTTATGAAGTGTCGGTATCCATGTCTTGTTGATGTCCTTCCTCTCTTCCTTATGGTTGAAATTGCTTTCATTAAGAACTTGCGTGTTTTCGAAGGCAGTGTCTCTGAGAGAGTGTGTTCTGCAACTGCCAGTTTTTCTATTTGGCCATAGCGACAACTTTTAGGTAGATCACTTCGATTACGTCTGCCGCAATTGCAGACGAAATGTCAGGTATGAAAACTGCAGACAACGGCTAATAAATAAAAATAAATCCGGAAAGATCGGAGAATTTGTTAGACACCGGTCGTAAAAGCCTTCACACCATAATAAATAGTTACTAGCTGTTCCAAAATATTCATAGTAAAGCTTATGCCCATTGTCCTATATATAGTACACCNTGTTGTCATACGACTTTATATAACACATGGTGTGAACAGTCCCGGGCCTAAGAAAAAAAAACGCTTTTGTAGAACTTTTGTAGAACTTTTTATCTTTTGCCTAAAAATATGTCTCAGTTTCAGTTAACCTCTTCATTCGAGCGGAGTTTCCTACCGGTGAGCATTTTGTTGAGGTCTGCGAACAGCCAGTAGTCGCTGAGAGCCAAATCTGGCGAATACGGTGGATTTGGGAGCAATCTGAAGTTCAATTCGAAGACAATATACAGTGTGTCAATTTTAAAACGTACAATGGGCTATATCTCACGAACGAAAGATGATATCGAAAAATGCTTGAAACCGTTTCTAGGATAGTGAGGGGGAACTGAGAAAAAAAAGCAGAAGACCTTTTTTTCGTAGAAAATTTTATAATTAATGAGATGGGTAATAACTCATTTTTACATACTCATAGTTCCACAGATATAAAAAAAACATTTGAAAACTGTGCCTCCGAATGAAAAATCTCTACTTGTATTTGATCGGACATTTTAGGGGTTGTGCTTCAGTATAAAAACATTCAACAGGCTGTGGTGTTATCATCACCAAAAATTCAACAGCCCTGGATCATTTATGTAAAAACTGTACGGTAAATATTTAGAATATTCAAACAAAATTATCAACCTGTCTGTCGGCAACAGATACATTTAACGATCAGACATATAAACACTTAATATCAAAAACATTCACTTTCTGCTCGTTTCGAATTTGACTTCTCTCCTCAGCGAACGACTCCTTTGAGGGGTGCTAGCATGCACTTCCGGTATTCGAAGACTCGTTGAGGAATTCTGAGGGTTGAACGGTGACTTGACGGGAAACTGTTTCGCCACTAACGGCACCCAGCACTGGGCTTCCAGTTTCCCCAGGGAGCCTCCTACGGGTAAATGTGATTGGGTGAGTTTCTGACAAACAAGTAAAAATTTGAAAATTTATAGTTTCCATACGAACCAAAATACACCAATTGGATTGGTTTGAATTTTTGGAGAATTGAATATGAAAGTGGCTTTCAAAACTGCTCGTATACTTCAACAACGCGAAAATCTAGTATTTACGAAATAATCTGTGAGAATTGCAATGAAAAATATGCTGGACAAACTGAGCGGACTGTACTCATTCGATTTTAAAGACAAAAGAAGTCCGGTGAAGCTCAAAATGTCATTGAGAACGGTCTCAGAATAAGTGAGGAATGATTGAAATTGTTGAGACTGGTACATGAAAACAAGTTTTTAGATGAAAGGTTGAAAATAAAAAAATGTGGAATGATATACAGGGTGTAACATGAGTTCGTTAAAATATTCAAGTGACGTATTCCTGAGAAAATTTAAAAAAAAGTCTATATAAATATGTGTCCGGAAATGTTTCGTTTCGGAGATACAGGGTGTTGAAATTGATCTGTTTGTTCGTTTTTTTGAAAATGACTTTTGCAAAAAATAAGTTATTCGCACGAAATTCGGTACCCGGGATTTTCTTGACGTGGGAAATTATAATTTTGTATTAATTTCCATGTAACATCTAGAAAGCGCTGCGTACGCTGTCATTATTTATGTCAAATTGCCCTAACTTTTTTGACAGTAAACTTTAGGTACTTTTTATAAAAAACCTAGTTCCCACACCCTTCCTAACGCTGGAGGTGATCGTTTTCGAAATATTTTAGGGTAATTTGAAATACATAATGACAAAGTACGCAGCGCCCTCTAGGTGTGACATAAAAATTAATACGAAATTATGATTTCCCATATCAAAAAACCCCGATTACCGAATTTCGTGCAAATCTTTTTTTTGAACAAAAAAATCAATTTCGATACCCTGTATCTTCGAAACGAAGCTTTTCCGGACACAAATTTATATAGACTTTTTTCTTACAATGGGGAATGTTCCTCAATTTGGGTTATTACATAAGTAAACAGAACAGCACGCCTCTGAAATATGTCATCTTTATTTGTCTCATACAGGTAACAGATTCATTGTCTTTTATTAGCTATAACCGATGTTGCCAAATGGTGAAATAGAAACGAATCCCTTTAAATGCATTATTTCATTCTTCTTTTTTGGGTATTTAAATAATTTTTTCAAGAAAGAGGTTGAAATGATAAGTTGAAATGCGTTGTTTTAGAGCTCTTTTATGAAAATTACTTAATTTTCGTCAGGAGGAACATTCCCCATTGTCTCAGGAATACGTCACTTGAACATTTTGACGTACTTATGTTACACCCTGTATATGAACGATCGTAAAGGTCCCATTTCTAATTGCCTATTGTTCGCACTACTACGTAATTTAATGGGGAATTTAATGACCCTGATTATTTCGTCTGGATACATATAAAAACATCAACATAGCTTGCAAGAAGTAGTTTTAGATAAATGGCAAGCTATGTCTCGACAATGAGCACCGAATGAGAAATCACTTTCTTTCTCTCTCTGCAGCTTTTACTGTATGGAAACTTGTAATCGGAGCTCAAAAGCAAAGGGTTCGCGATCAAACACTAGGTAGCGCTGTTGCGAATAGCCAGTGGAGGTAAATTGAAACACGAATGCATTATTGGACTGAAAACTGACAGAATACACGGAAGTTCTGTTTTCAGTCCTATAGAGAGCGTCTTCATAAAAAGAGATGACTTGTCTATTTCATCTAGTTACTCTGTAGTGAGAGCTACAGAGTAAGACAGAAGGGGGTTTTCTATTCAGCGGTACACATAGAAACCTGGTTTTGCAATAGATTGCATTGGAGAATCTTATTTTCTTGAACAAGCAAGGTTTGAGTTTTCTGAACATCGTACAAATGGCACCATCGTAAGAGAAGATGTACACGATCATTTATATTTGGAGATAGCACTAACACTAATACTGATAATCATATACACACATCGGAAAAGTCTAGGGATATTTTTAAAAATGGCNTTCTACATCGCTCAACCGATCGTGATGAAACTTGACATGTGCAAGTGATTTTTCATAGAGAAGGTTTTTAGGCTATCAATTTTTTTATAACTCGCCACTAGATGGCGCTGTAGAACATTTTTTTTAAAGCACTGTTCTATAACGCTACGCGTTACGATTCTGATTCTGTCAAAACATTGAAACAGCAGCGATACAGCAACATAGTACTAGTATATTATAATACAATTCAAACAGTTATGTAATACTTTTGAAGTTTCTTTTCTCACGAACTCTCAGACTAAAATTAGGTATACTCACGGTCTGTGTTCTTTAACGTTCTGTAAGCTGAAGACCGCACCAACCCCGTATTTCCCGTGTTCACGGCATCCAAAGACATGCTTCGACTATGTGTTTTGGCCCACAATTTATTTCTCTTTCCCCTTTCTCTCTCTTCGCTTAGCCCACTCAGGTGCTCGTTTAGGGCGTATAGTTTTTGTGTTATATCTTTTCCTGAAAAATATTTTCGTTATTAGATATTGATTGATTGAGATTTGAAAATCTCCTTGAATAAATAATTTGGAACTTTTATTAAAAATGATAATGTGGGGAGGTGATTGTAGTCCGTAAGGGAGGAAAAACGGATAAGTACCGAGATTTTCTCTCTGAACTTCGCAGACTCTATCTATGTTAAAACGGTTGTACTGATTATTTGGAGTTCTTGGTGGAATCATGCTTTCTCTACTCTTAAAGATCATGCCGGCTTGCCGCAGGAAGGCAGAAATTTCGACCGGACAAATTCAGAATGCTGTCATTCTTAGCTCATTGCGTCTGCTTAGAGCACATGATGTGGACCCAATGATCACTTACCCCACGGTGTGGGGAGTGGTCATTGGTTGAAAATGCCGGTGGGTCTGCTTGATTGTGTTGGAGTTTCAGGGATATGGCCCAACCAACTTACTCTTCGGTGGAAATTGATAATAATTAAGCAGAAACTGGTGCAAGACCGGACCGGACCGAAAGCCATGACCGGTGCCGGCCATGGGTCTACAGGGCTAACCACCTGGTAGACCTAACACTTGGTTCCTGGAGTAAGAGGAAGGGACCCTCCACAACTGACCCGTATTGCTAGGACAGAGGTGAATTCCTGCGAAGAGGAAACATGGCGAGAATGCATAGTCTGTGGTGTGAAACACATCCAGGGGATACAGCAAATTCCACCCTTATTCGTGTAAGTTACACTACCCGCTGCTGCTATCTCTTTTTGGCGTTTGAAATTAGCAGAATATGTTTTTAACCCTTTAATTTTATTTTGAGAAAATTGAAACTGACATTTCACGCACCAGAATTGACTATGTACCCTGAGTTGACGCATCAACATTGACAGCTGACGTCTTCTGTCAGTTTTAATACTATAACTTTTGAGGACAAATCAGCTAATGTTGCCAACCTGTCGACACGAAATGCTTTGCTTTGTGTACGTCGCATTCAAAAGCTACAATTTTCTGACAAATGTTGGGTACTTTTTTGTACATAATCTGTTACACACTTTTTGATCAAGAACAGCACTAGTGGAGACAATCTAAAAAGACAAAGTGTTCGGCTCAATTAGGTTAAGTTAGGTTGAGTTAGATGAAATTGAATTATTAATGAAAAAAATGATCATATTTTTATACTTGGTTTGTTTCAGATCGTTACCTTTTCGGAAAGTAAACCTTTCCTTTCTCAAAATCCACCACTGAAAATGAAAAACAGATACAGTTATTTTGACTAACGTCAAAAGAATGAAATATCCATAAATCATATTCGATAGTCTACATGAACACACATTTGGGATATTTATTAAGAATTCAGTTTAGATTCTCGTCTAAGGAATGACAACCAGGTACAAAACATTTTCACAGAGTTGGGAACCCCCCCTGTAACCCTCTGGCTACTACCTTACAGTGTTCTTTCTATTTCTTAGACATTCTTACCTATGATTGCATCCAACACAACTTTGAGCATCGGTCTGTGTCTCAACACTCTTTCCAGCTTCATTCGAGGCCAGCACAAATAAACACTGTCTTCTTCAGCGGTGATTGTCACTTGAAAAACGTCATCTGATTGTTCGTGATTGGCTTCCCACTCAGGAGAGTCAACAAACTGATGCATATTGATGAAGTGCAGATGGGTATCATCACAGGTTACTCTTAACCTAGAGAATAACTCCAATTATCATATTTCATTCATAGCTGTTGTGAAAATTATGTTGGTGAAACTAGTAGAACACGTTTCAAAGAACACATTTTTGATGAATAAATGTCAATCTTACTGTTTTTATATTGGATGTTTTATCTTTACCTTCCTTTGAGCAAAATCGACAATCTTTCGTCAGCTGGACTGACATCTTCCACGGCATAAATGTCGCCTTCTTCCAGATTCATTACCACAGCTTCTCGAACCAATTCCTTGAAGTGCTTTTTGCTAACTCGGAACGGTTTGAACACCTATAACAAAATTCCAAATCGTACTTACAAAATAATACGCAAAGATTATCGATTGCTGTGTCATTGATATAGTTAAATATAGAATTTGAAAAATGCAATTTTTGAACATTTCAAAGGTTTGAATTGAAATAAAACATATTGAATTTCAGTTTGTTCAGCTATGTCAAACTGATGACCACCCGTGACCAAGTAGCGACAAATCTGGTGACCGTAGAGGCCATTCAAAACAGAATTGTGGAAAATGATCATTTTCACAAAAACTATTATAACATCGTCAGAACATCAAAACTATGCTCTACTTTGAGCATTTACTTCTAATGCAGTAAAAATGAGTGAAAAACAATGAGTTGAACATATGAATTGACGAAAGAAAGTTAACATGTATGGTCTAAATGAGAGGCAAGGGGTAAGGTGTTTTCACTTGAACCTGGAGCATGTCACATGCACCTCTCCGGAATATTATTCATTACTCCGACTCCCACCCCGGAGTATGTTTATGGAGTTGTTTCTTGGCTCTTTCTGCAGGTGGCGCAGTGGGTTTATGTCTAGCTGGAATTATATTTGTTTGGTCGTGTTTTTGTCTGCACTCCACGATGGTTGCATCCTAGTAGAGCCACCTGACGTCAAAGGCAACCTCACCAGCAATTCCAACTCGATGCGCTACCAAAAGAAGTCAATTGTGGAGTGCATATGTCTCTCTTCATAACCAAAGGCAAACGTGATAGATCCATTTGCTGCTGCTGAGACTTCTCTTCCACAAATTACCCACTCGATGAGCTTATAGTTGGTGAATCTTTGTGGTATGCAGGCGTGTGTGTTCTCTGTACAAACTTGTATAGAGTACACATGATGGATAAAGTCAAACTCCGCCTTGACTGTGTATCTACATCACCAATCGCAAGCTCAAACTCCCGTTCAAGGTCATATTGCATGCACATATATCAAGGACGTCCCTCAAGATCAAACCTTAAGGTAACGTACCGAAAAAAGGTTCGAATCTCGAGTTCATTCCTCCATGTTCAAGGCCATATGGTCCTGCACATAGCTTAAGACCATGTGACACCGGTGAAGGTCAATGGGGGTGGAAAAGAATGGTTCTTTGACTTCATCCATACCTATCTTGATGACATGAAGTCATGCCAAAATGCCGGCTGTAATCTACCATTCAGTAATATCCAAACTTAGTATTGTTTGAATTTTTAAGTTTATTATTTTCCATTGCTTCCAAATGATTCAGTTTCAATCCTTTATTTTCTATGTGTAAAATTTCGAACTCTTCGTTGAAGATATGATTTCCTTCTAAAAGATGATTTGAATATGTTGATCATAGGTTCTCTATAAAATGCCCTGAATTGTAGCGGTTGGATGATTGGAAAAGGAAATATTCCTGTGGATCTGGGGTCTAAAGAGAGGGGTTACTGTAATGCGGTATCAGCGTTGCACTCTCCATTTCGGAAAAAAAGTTGTTGTTTCTTCATATTCTGGTACATTTTTCTTTTAATCGATGCAGTGGTATCTCATACAATTTTCCTGTATTGCCCCTTTTGCCTCTATTTTCTGCTCATAGAGGTCGGTAACCTTCACAATCTACGAGCAGAAGATTGAAAATGTTTTCCAGAATGAGCAATAGGCTAAGATTGCAGGAGACTTCACTGCAACGATGAAAAGTTGTACCAGACTCTGAAAACATATTTTATTTTCGAAAAAGGGAGAGGGCATCGACAATACTGCACCACCGTGAGCGTCCTAGCCATCATGTTTCATCCAAGTTCCACAAGAAGGAAGGATATCCTGAGAGATTATGTCACCCACCAACGAAGACGAAACGAAGTTTCGAATGGGAGTAATCATGTAATTACTGGGAACGAGTATTTTTTGACTGCTGATTGCTGTGATATCAAGTCAATATTAGTTCTGAAGATTGTATGATCTGGAGAATGCGACTTTTGTAGAATTACACAATAACTATGTGATGACAACAAGTATTTCGCGGCAACAAAACATGGCATGAAATCCTAACTACGTAAAAAATAATTACTAAAAGCTGATAAAAATATAGTATTTCACCGAGTAGCCTTATTGGAAAACGTTAACTTCCGTGCTGATTATTATAGTTTAATAGATAATGTTCGACATTTTTCAAAGAAAGTCACGATGTTGATTTCGGTCAGCTACTGAAAAGATTTTGTGTTATAACGAATCATACTAAATTTTCTTTTTGAAATGACTCTGTCAAACACAGTTTAATCACACCAGAACAAAAAGTACCGTCTCTTTGGTGTGGAAAAAGTGTTCTCAATATACTCAAGTTTTTTTTAGGAATCGAAATCATAAATGATCTCTGCAAATGAAGAAAAAATTAATGAACACTTTTTTATTATTCATATAAATGAGAATTGAACAGAAATACTCATATCAAAATAAGTGTGGCGTTTTTTTGTTAAATTTAGATAATGGTCTTCATGCAGATGCAAGAAGTCGACATGAACGAAACACAAGAGCATGATATGATGTGATTCTCAGTGATACAGTTGAAAAATGTGTCAAAAAATTCGAGAAATCCAAATGCGAGTGACGTTTGTGAGATTAACTGAGATAGTAGCGTTCAAATGCAAGAGGTTGTTGATATGAATGTAACTACATATCAGAGAATGACATGAATGTAACATATTAGAGAATGACATGAATGTTACATATTTTGTTATCTAGAAGTCTTAGAAACAATTGTAACGTTACAGTCGCAACTTTGGAATATAACTTTTGTCCTCGCAGAAAACGCACGTACCTCTGATGATATCTGCCGCAGTAGCAGGCGAAACGTTTGGTGAAGAACGATTAAGAATTTTGTTACTGAGACTTCGAAATATGATTTACTTCCTTGCGGTGAACGCACATAACACTGATGAAATTTGCCACAGTAGCAGACAATTGTACTCTAGTTTCTATTCAAAACCACCTACAAGCCCGGATTTTGTTCTCCCTAATCGTGTTTCCGGCCGTGATAGCTTTTCTTCATATATTGTCTTATTATAATACATAATGACATCATAAAAATTGTCAAGTCGAGAAATAGGCTACTGCGGTTCCTTCTCGTGGTTCACACTGTTTTTGGGGAATTTTAGAGGTTCAGACTTTGTCTAAAAAATGATTAACAGTTTTAAAATCTATGAAGAGAAATTAATTAGGAAAATATTAAAATTCACGAGGACCAAAATATTCAGATGAGTATGAAATGGAATGAAAACTCCTTCAAATCAAAATTGAAAGAATATTTGCAAGATAAATATTATTATAGTATCAAAAAATTTCTTGATGCGAAATGAAGATGTGTTTGCTTGTATGTATGAATATAAATAAATGTTTCTATGTATACTTATATGTACAAATCTAATAAATAGTGATGTTAAGAATTCGATATTAATTGCTGATGTACCTACCATCACATGGTTTTTATTTGTGACGTATCCTATATCGTGATGTATGTGATCTGGAAGGATTGAATGAAGATTATCATTATTATGACACCAACACAAAACGACATGTTTCATGTCGTCTTGTGTTGGTGTTGTCTCGAAAATTTGGTTGTTGCAATGATTTTTATTTTTTTTTAAATATGTATCTGATGGTTTTTGAAATAGTAATATTATCAAGACGAATTCTTCTGGAAATAAGATTAACATAAAAAAATTGAGATCAGATATACAGGGTATTAGTTGAGTAATAAAACGTGAAAATGATGTTTATGATCTAAAATAAGTCATGAATTCAAATTTTCAGACCAGAATTACAATTTTCACATTTAGATTGATCATATGGTTATTGCAGTCGTTTTAGCTAAAGTTTGCATCTAATTTATGTAATATTGACTCTGAGTGGTCCATCATGATTTTTCGTGAAATTCTGCTAATGATCGCGAAAAGAAATAATCACATGAACCACTTCCACCGCAAAAAGTTTAAAATTACTTACAGTATTATCATGTAAAAAAAATAATCGTCGGATGATGAGCAACTATCGCGATCGTTATTATTCAGGGTAATAATCAATGATCCGATTTTAATGTCCATTCTAGTATCGAGATCTCACTGTTTGTCTTCTTCTTTTATCGTCTGTCTAATGCATTTTTCCAAGTCTCGGTATGAATTTTCTATCGCAGTAGGTAGTAGGCCATTGCAATAGTCAATTTTTCCCTCGACACTTGGTTTTTTATTCGAGCTCATATTCGCTCGATCGAGTTCAGCTCACGATGGTAAGGAGGGAGGCGGTGTACAATTATGTTCCTCTCACAAGTTATTTCGTGGACAACATATGTTTTCAACTGAGGTATATGTTTCCTTGCAATATTGAGTTATTGGACTTTTACCATATTATCGTCGAATGGTAAATTTTTTTGAGTTAAATGATATCAGCTTTTCGCCAGGCAGTTATTGGTGACTGCTCCAATTGTCTGCTATGGTGGGAGGCATTGTCCATGACGACGACAGAGTTCGATTCAAGGTTTGGTAAAATCTTTAAAAACAAACTTTCGAACTTGTCCGTCCATTTTTTCGTGGTAGTCTCTAGTTTTATTGGACTCGAAGAGTAATGAGCCGTTTTTTAAAAAACGAGAATCGCTGCCTACATGAGTTATGAGCCTCCGTCCTTTGTCAGCTGGCGCTTTTAATCCTGTTGAGAGGCCTTCAATGAAAGCTTGTCGACAACTTTTTATTTCTGAATCTTGCCATACCTTCAAGACAGCATGGCCTTGATTCAACCAAGTCTCACATGAATAATAAATCTTTATTCCTTCAAGACGATACTTTCGGATTTTTTTGAAGTAATTTATCCGCCACAAAATAATTTCTTTCCTTTTTATAAAATCCTTTTTACTACCTCTTTTCATAAATTTAATGTTCATTTGCTTGAATGTGCGCAATAAAACACGTCGTGATATTTTGGGCTTCGATTCATCGGAACTTACTTTGGGTGCGACTTTTTTTGAGCGACTTTTTTTGAAGCTGGGATTTTATTTCCGAAAAGGAACAAATGGAATTTCCTACGAGAAGCTTATTCAGTGCAATTATCAAGCTGAATTTGTTTTCTTCCTCTAGTTTCAATGTTCTCAGATACATTTATCACATTCACCTTAATTTCATTTAAATGTTTGAAGAATGTTGTGAACACTTCTCGTCGACACTTTAGTTAAATCACTACACAGATAAACTACGTCATTATGCAACATATTTTCATTACGTTCACAGAGCCGACAATACACATCTTATATAATATTTTTCCTCCTAAGATAAATTCGGATGTCTGCGTTTGCTTTGACTGATTTCACTTTCCATATTGCTTACAGTTCACAGCACGAAACTGATTTAAAATGATATTTTCCTTGTTTCAGTCCTTAAACGAATCCCTTGGTTTTTACCTGATATAAAATTTCGTTTTTATGTAGTGTTATTCCTTTTCCTAGAAATGTAGATACCTGATATTGTGACGTCGACTACATTATTACGCCTCGAAAATGTAATTAATCTATAGAAAGTGTATTATTCCTCTTTTATGTTTATCTAGGATAGGTATAATATGAAAATATCATTTTTTGTTAATTTTTGTATAATTGAAAAGGGTATTTCCAATTTTAGAAATTTCAAAACTGTCATCAGTGTTGAAACATACTCAAATCTTTACTACTAAATTATAATAACGGATCAAAGAAAACAATTATTATTTACTGTACGAATTATTCAACGAATTTTACGCTCATGAATGTTAACCGCGTTCGGCTGATGAGCCGAAATTCATATCTCTTTCTACATCACGGCAAATTTGATCTGCCGTTCTCTTTTCCGCTCCAAAAACATCTCTGTGTACGCAACGTTGCCATTTATAAATTTCAGTCGCAGAATATAATTCATATTTTTATATTCATTTCATGAACATTGATTCCGTTGAATACATTTCATCAACAGGGAGTTTCTTTAATTAATAAAACACGTTGTTATTCTATCACCATTTAGCTGCGTGTGTAAGATTTAAATAGAAGATGATAAAATATATAGTATCACAACCGGACAACAATGTTTTCGTTTAAATGCAATATAATTTCTGAGAAATCAGTGCCTACTATTTTAAAATTTTACTATAGTCTATACGAAGGACATTCCTTTATTGTTTTCTGCAAAGACGAAACGTATCCATTGGAAACTTCCTCTCTAATGAATTTTTTGAGCTCCCATCTATCAAAACATAATCAATCAAAATAATGAACGGTTACATGAGTTCTTACATCGTAGATTGATTGAGTGCTGAAAATATATGAATCTTATGAATTGGGTATTGTGTCGTTGAATAATTGAAGGATGAATAAAGAAGGTCTTCTTAACCAGTACTTCATTATGGTAGCCCTTGAATTCTTGACCAGGGTCCATAATTTTTGAATAAAAAACATTAGGATGAAACCCATTAGAAAAGCAGGAAAATATGATTAAAATGAAATAAAAAATAAATTATGGGCGATCTGAGTTCGGGAAGTGGGAGGGAATGAGTTTTTAAGGGTAAAAAAATGGAATATCTCGTCCTATAGAAAAAAGTCAAATGGCAAAGTTGTAGGTAATAAAACGGTCAACAACTTTTGTTTTCAGAATATTTTCACATAACCTCAAAATTTATGATTATGATTACGTTATTAATTATAATATTAAAAAAAATCTTGTTATTTATGAATACCCCATCTTGAATATTCATCACTTATCCATTAGTTTTTGTCTCTGTGATGTCTCTTTTTACACCATCATAAACTAGAGATTTCAACGAATAGAAAGCAAACCGACTCTTCAAAACAATATTTTGACGCGAGAATTTTCGATTGAAAATTAGTGTAAATTACAGTGTATTTGGGACACGAAAAAGTGAGTTTCCAGCAAATTTCGTGATTTTTTTTTTTGAAAAAGATGAAAATGAAAAACCAAAAACTTGGTTATTTGAATTATTCACATAAATTTTGAGGTTATGTAAAAAAATTGTGAATACAAAAGTTGTAGATTTTTTTATTACGTACAACTTTGCCATTCAACTTTTTTCCATAGGACTTGTAGTTTTGCCGGAAATCGAGAAAACCATTTTTTACCCTTAAAAACTTACCCTCTCCCACTTCTTGAACGCAGATAGCTCGTAATTTATTTTTACTTTCATTTTTATCATATTCCCCTATTTCTCTGATGGGTTTCATCCTACTATTTTTTTTTCATTTTCACCATTTTTGAAGGCTTCACCTGGTCTATCAAGTCAATATCCTTGTCGAGAACTCGAAAGCAGTGAGGTTTTGCGATATTGGCATGTATGTTCAAAAAATTGGAGGAATTACTGAAATCATCCATCATATATATGTCACACAGAAAAAAACCCTGCGCTCCTTCGTAGTAATCATAGATTCACTACTTTAGTGATTGAAAGTACCCATTCTCTTCATATGCAGCCCAATTTTTGGACGTTGCTTCATTTATTGCCTCATAGATAATGGATTCTCGCACCTACTGGAAGATTCCTTTTCGGTTTTACCCTAAGGTTTCCTAAACCTTTAATGGAAAATTTACCTCTTGGTCGTATATCTCGAGTTGAATTTTTTTCATATGTAGGCATAGATTTGTGTGGTCCTATTGAAACTATCCTTGAGGTACAACAGTCCATAAATCATATATATGTGGACTGTTAAAAAAATTAAGCAAATGTTCAAAGAACCCCGCACCATTCTTATGGAGAATGGGTTCCGGTGAAATTCGATGAATTTTTGATATGATGTAGCTCAGTTTTCGAGATACAGGGTGTCAAAGTTGGTAAGCGTCCATTTTTTTGGAGTAATATTGCGTTCAGGAAAACATACTAAATAAAAATGTTTCGCGCGATGGATTTTGCTTATATATGGAGCACAACTGGTTTTCAAGTGTGAGTGCAGCACTATTCAAAATGAAATTCACAATGAACCCTCTGAAGTGAAGATGTGACCGAACACACTGCTATGCTTATCGCTTGAATATTTCGAAATTGATCAATTCAACAATTTGTACTGGGTGAGCTTTAGGGAAACTTGTTTTCAATTCTCACTTCAGGAGTTTGGTAAGGGATGTTCATTTTGAACAGGGTGAATAATTTTCACTGACCAATGTTGAAATAACGACGAAAACGACAACATTATTGAACAACATGATATTTTTTTATCATTTATACGAATATTTCAATTGAAAAAAATGTGTCGAGGAATATTAAAAAAAAAGAAAATACTGACATAACATACATTTATAATTTCAATTCTAAAGAAAATTTTACCACGAATATTTGAAATAAAAATAGAATGAGAAACACTGAAAATACAAAAAAATTGAAAATAACAATAAGCAAAGTAGACCTGAAGAAGGGAGATCAATTGTTGCATCCAAACTGTTCAAATATGACAAAAAAAAACTAGATATCAATGAGCTCGAGTAAAATGTATTGATTAACTTGCTGATGTCTATTAGCGGCATCACATATAACATATGTGAGTCTTGTAGAGGGTGTAGCGAATATTCTGCTCATGTCGAGCATATCACACAAAACGCTAATTATATGTGAGCATGCACCTAGAGTAGAGAATTATCAACGTGTCTCCACCTTCCCGTTCAATGCATCTAATTGTTCGATCGTGAAATTCACAGAGTTGATCGCAACACACTCGCTGGAATATTTCTGTAATAAAATCGTATCGAATTTTCAAGCTCCTCAGCATTATCAATTGGTCGATCCTTGTTAACCTTTTGCTTTTACTATCGCCATAAAAAATATAATAGGGTGAGATCTGGTGAACGAGGAGGCCACCGTGGATCAATATTTCGTCCTGACCATTCATCACCAAATTTCCCATTTAACCATTCTGAAACAATTTTAGTAGAATGAGCAAGACACCCATCATGTACAAACCATAATTGATGTCATTCTTGAAAGCTCATATTGTCCAAAAAATCCGTTAGTTTGTTTTCCAAATACTATTAATAGGTACCACCAGTTAGGTTGTGGTAAAAAAAAAGACCTTATTGATTTGTTGTTAACAATACCCCACCATACATTTATGTTTAAAAACTGAAAATTATAAAATTATTTGAAAGCTCCTAGGTAGCAGCCATCACACTATTCTCCTCAGCAATCTACGGTATTGATCAGATAAAAAATGATAAAATTGTAGGGCATATTTACTCAGGTTACGTTATACGCCCAACGATTTTTTAATTTTTTTTGTCTGATCAATACCGTAGATTTATGAGGAGAGTGGTGTGATGACTGCTACCTAGGTCTTTCCGAATTAATTTTTAGTTTTTAGTACATCATCTATACTTTATTATCTTTCTTTTCAATTGAACTGTTCGACATTGAAATTTTTTTCACTTATTTCATATGAAGTAGGGTCGATATAATGATTCATGAATAAGTAATTCATTCAGATATTTTGACTGAAAATGTTGAAAAACGTATATTTGAAAAGAATATCTACACTAACTTTCTGCTTCCAAATAACTATATGAACACATTTACATTCCGAATTCGACTAACAGAAGAATAATATACGTTGAGTACTGGACAAGAATTCAGAGCGATGAGAAAAAATATTAACAAGTATATATGAGGCAGTTGTTACTGAAAATCATTGCGAAAAAAAAACAAACTCAAAGATAGGTTATACAAGGAGCCAAAAATTAAAATAGTTTTCAGGACTCATAGGCTCTTGATCACTTAGTGATCGAAACACGTGTCGAGGTGTTGAAAATAACGATCTGGTCTTTGGAAAAAACTCCAGTAATACTCATAGTTAGGGCATGTAGAAATGATGGATAATACCAGACCAAAAAAAATGATGATGAATGAACGTTGTGGAAGAAGATGGGACTACAGCCTAATGACAAAACATTTGTGAAGCAAAAAACGACGACGTTGTTTTGACCAGCCATAGGCCATAGGTTCAGAGGAGTTAGGCTGAATGAAAAACATACTGTTGAGGAAGTGTTCATGCTAACCTTTATTCGGGATTGTTTTCAAAGGATCCAAAAATGAATTCGTGTTTTAGCCTAGCACCACGAATGAGACTTATAGGAGATTGTGGAATGTACCGCTTTTGGGAGTCTCGTTTATCATTAATATTCAGTCTTCTTCAAATAGGAGAAATATCCATGCTTACTTTTAGTGTAGAACAAGACTCAAAACAGTGAAATGAAACTTATACTGGAGAAATGGAGCAATAGACTCATGACAAAGGAGAGGGATCGTGAAGAAAGAAATGAAGAAGTTATAGATGAAATACTCACATGAAAGAATGCAAAATGATACTTTCTGTGTTTTACCACTTTTATTTGTAACTAACGTTACTGCAGTTTCGTTCTATAAGGATATTTACAAACTAAAACAATAAATTGAAAATAACTCATATTAGTAGCCCTCATATATCTAAACACCACTGTAGGTAATACCAACTTAATTGGGTACGCTAATTTGTAAACCAGTGGGTAAACTAAATCGATTAGATAATTTAGCAGGTGACATATACAAAGCTTATGCTTATGAATTTCCAAGGATTTCAACCCTTTCCAACCCTTGGTTGCATAGTGCAAAATGTATGTATGGTTTAGATTCCGAAACATGTAGTTGTCTTTCAAGAAATGGTTTGAAAATGTCGAACCATTTTTACTAAGCCTGAAGGACCTTTCATGTTCAGCATACCGTTTTGAGTAATTTCGGCCACACTATATATAATCACTATTTCACTCCGAACACTCAAGGTTATAAAAATCAGATTTCTCCATCTCGTCCACTTTATCTTTGGAATTGAAAAAGAAATTACATAACCTGGCATTAGGTCTGAATGCTACTTTCACATTATTTTTTCAAAAAAACCGCAATTGTCTCCATTCTTTTACCAAAGTATGTTAGAGTTATAAATTTCTTGATTTCTGATTGATCTGGAGGTATAATAATCTGTATGTAAATTAGAGGCTTTGTTTTCTGACTCACTTCTGGATTGTGTCTCCATGAAAACTATTATTATGTCCTCTCTGTATGATTATTTGTATTTCCCTATCTAGATTGTTAATACATAAAGGTAGCAAGAATGTTATGTGCAACATTGAATTGTAGGATGCTAACGTATAACTGTCGGGATGGAAAAAATCACTAGAGATTGTAATGTCTGTACAGCTCGATTTTCTAAATACATTGAACTCGAATTCATTATGAGTGAGAACTGTATGTTTCTAATGAGACTATTCATGAATGTCATGAATTGGTTCAGCTGTCGTGTAGTACCTCTAAAACAGGCGAAAATATCGTCTTCATATCCGTACCAGAAAGTAGTATGTTCATTACCAATATCGGAATTTACTATAGTGGTCTCGGATCTGTTCATAAATATGTCTGCTGAAAGTGGACTAAGGGGTGAGCCCATTGGTGAACCTAAATCCTGTTTATAAAATTCGTTGTTGAACTGTAACTTACTCTGATTTAGGCATACATCGAAAGTTGTCGAAATTTCAAAAGAAGTGATATGGTCTACTTTGGCACGATCTAATATATCTAAAATGGGAGGCTTGTATTCGTTGTACGGCATATTGGAGAACATACCTTTTACATCAAATGAAAAAATTGAATTATGTGGCGTGGTTTGGTTATTAATTTTTCCTACTTACGTCAGCTAATTTTCAATACCGTGACATAGGACTTTTTCATTATACTTCACATATACATATACATAAACTTTCATACATTGAATAATATATCTGAAAATGTACCTGAAAATTGTGTAGAACGTTTGTGACAATGAGTTATAGATCTATTCAGAATTTCTTTCATTATTTCTTCAGAAAAAGTATTTTCATTTATCATTCATAAGTTTCACATACAAATTTTTTTAACTAATCAATACAGTTTATTGTATGATTTTAACTATAAAGGGTTTTATAAAAACCGCGACACGTGTTTCGCTATACAATAGCTTTCTCAAGCATAAACTAAAATCTACGCGTAGGTAATAGGTTAGAGCAGGGGTCTCCAAACTTTGAAGCCTTCGGGCCATAATGATTTTTTCAGTTTGTTCCAAGGGCCAATTTCTGCCCTTAACTATATTTCTAGACTAGGATAGTCACAAAGTGCGTGACCTAAGGAAACTCACGCTTTTT